GTTTTCTGAGAAAAGCTGATAATAGGGGAAATCGGATGATGAAACTGCGGAAAAATGTAAATCGCTTTTGTTGAACTGGTGGCGAAAAAGGAGCAGTAATTTTTGTTTGAAAGACAGCAGAAGGAATTTTTGAGAGTGGGAAGTGTTGGGAAGTGAAAATGGAAGCATTTGCGATCATTCTGATTCAAAATCATATTGGGCCACTTTCTAACAGAAACCGGTCTCGGTTTTTTGCTACACTTCGAAAAGTTCCTAATGCTGACTTTTTTCGAAAAATGATCATTGCCGCCCGTCACACTACCACATGATCATATGTACGTACGTCCGTCACACTCACTGGTCACTATATGTATGTACGTCCGTCACACTACCACATGATCATATGTACGTACGTCCGTCACACTGACTGGTCAGTATATGTATGTACGTCCGTCGCACTACCACATGATCATATGTACGTACGTCCGTCACACTCACTGGTCAGTATATGTATGTACGTCCGTCACACTGACTGGTCACTATATGTATGTACGTCCGTCACACTGACTGGTCACTATATGTATGTACGTCCGTCACACTAACACATGATCTTATGTACGTACGTCCGTCACACTCACTGGTCAGTATATGTATGTACGTCCGCCACACTACCACATGATCATATGGTCACTATCACGTGGTCAGACTATTGACCACGTGGTCAGACTATTGATCATCACTATTACATCAATCAGTGTTTACGACCTCTTATCGACGAGATCAAACGTCAACGACCTTCGTATGGAACTGATCGTATCAAAATTCATCATGACAATGGTAGACCACATGCGCATGAAGATGTAACCGATTATCTGGAATCTAACGGTCTTACAATAGTACCTTATCCACCAAATTCTCCAGATTTATCACCTTGTGATTTCTGGTTATTCGATTTGACCAAAGATAATCTGACCGATCAAGATGATGCGGAATCATTACATGATGCTGTGATCGATTTCATGAACTCCATAAATCGAGAAGAGTATAAAAAGACCTTCGAGAAATGGATCGAAAGAATGCAGCTCTGTGTCGATAATCACGGACATTATTTTGAACATTTGATGACATGATAAGAAAAAGAAAATGAAATAAAAGAAAGAAAAAACAAAAAAAACGAAAAAAAATCAGCTTCTGGTACCAGCGGGTTCGGGGCAAAAATACTTTTTCTCAAAATTTCACTAACGTAGGGGAAGGTAAGGACTTATCAAATACCATGGGAAAATAGAGCGGAACACGCTCTATCTATTGGTAAAAAAAGAAATTTTCCTCAGCCTCTGCTTAGTGAAATGAGGTACCTCCCTCACTACTTTTGGATTACATAAAACAACCAATATTTCATGTACTTGAGAGACAGTAAATAGCTGTTTCAAATATAGGAGACTTAATAGTCTTATTGTTAGAAAGGTGAACGAAATAATAAATGAATAAGACTCGAATAAAGACGACTGAGAAAACTTTGATGAGTGATTGAGTTAAACAGTTTTTGGTGTGTCGGGTGAATCGTGATATGTTATGATTAAAGAAAGAAAAAAGGGTAGCGCTATTGCCACTCTCTCAGGGTGTCAATAAGAGCTATTGACACTCTCAGAGAGTGGAAATAGCCATTCCGAAGAAAAAATCGTCATCACATTTCTCTTTTTCTGTCTAGAGAAAGAGGATAGAAACAGAAACGTTAGCGTATATGTCTGTGGTATCGTCTCGATTGATCTCTAATTGATTGCAAGATCCAAGAAAACTGAAATGAGACATCAGAACCGTGACTGTAAAAGGAACGTAATTTTAAAACCATCAACATTATGACAGATAAAATAAAATTGTTTAACTATATTACTATCAATCCAAACCAAAGATATATCGTATAAATAAAAACTCCTAGCGGTTCATCTTCACACCTAATTTTTCTATTAGATATTCACGTAAATTATATAAATTTTTGGTCATCATCAACAAATGTTTTATTTCGATCGTTCGGATAGGACCGAAGGGTTAAAGATAGAACCGAAGGTGGGCCATGATCCGTTAGATTCATACTACCTCGGATTGAAAATTTTCGGATTAATTACAATTTATAAAACACGAATGAAATGTACGGTGCAGGCAACTCAAACTTCAAGTAATAATTTTTTTTAATCTGAATAAGAAAAAGTCGTTTTTAACTTTTGAAAAACGCGCATTTTGAAAAAGGGCACATTTTTTCGAAAACCGTTAGTTTTAAAAAAATTCACTTTTTTTTCGTCCAAAGTTCTTTTAAACTATATTTTTCGGATTCAGCATTAAAAACTGAATATCAAAACGATGTTTAATTGAATTTAAACCCAAAAGTCGATTGAGTCTGGCTTTTCTGTGAAGTGATGAAGTCAATTTTTTTACTTCATTAGGGGCGCCGTTAAACGCGCTTTAAAAGCATGCATCGCTTTTTTTTCCAGTTTTCTTTATCACTAAGAAAATTGATTTTTTCTAAGTAAGAAGCGAAAAAGTGAAAATTCTACCCGTAATTCGTAGGCACGCACCAGTTTTTAACTGGTGTTGGGGCATCCGGGAGAATTGCTATAAATCAGTTATCACGATTCTCTCAGAGCTGTAAAACATCTAATTTTGTAGAAAAATGTTTGCTCTACAAAATGCATTTGTTAAAAGAATTCCAGACTCATTTCTAAGAAAACTCGTAGTATTCAAAAATACATTAAATCACGGAAAAAAAACCTGTTCGAACAGTTTTTTTTCGTAATTTAGTACATTTGAGTGATAAGAGACAGAAAAGAACTAAAATAGATAGTAGAACATGTTTTCTTATATATGTTTTACTTTTCTTCTTTCTGCTGCGTTTTAAGCGATTAACATTCGCCTAGATTTGCCAAGAAGGGAGTATAACTTATTTGATAATCCCGAGCTATTTATTTATTTATTTACATTATGCTTGAACATCTTCTCTCATCAAGATCCTTCGTAAATGCTAATATCTTAAGAAGTTCTTAAGGAATTAGTATTTACTGTTTCTGATTCTTTTATTGATTATAAAAAGCTGCTACTTAGCAACAACCATCAGTACAACAGAGACAGCACATACAAATGATTTCTTGTATGTTAACAAATACACGTGTACACAAGTACAAAATGAATTATTTTGTACTATACCCAAAATAATACAACTTTTACACGTGGTACAAAATGAGAGGTGGGGCGTTATGCCTCAAACCATTAGGCAAGGATAGACGCCCCTAATTCAAAAGCGGATTTCTCTACATTATTATCATTAATAACGGGTTTTTTTAGTTGTGTCAGTGGTTGTACATGTTTCTCTTTGATATAACCAAGGTCCCATAGTGTTAACACCAAATTTATCACAGCCTCGAAGGAAATTGCCATAGTTGCTTTCAATCACTCGATACTATAATATCCATTTTGTTTTATATATTCAGATATTTCTGTAATTCCATTTATATCGTCAACATCTATTTTCAGAAAGTTTCTAATACGAATTTTTCCAACATTTGAACAATGCTTTTTTCCAGAATAATTTTCTAAAAATTCTTTAATATAGTTCAGTCTGTTAAGGTTTACAGACATTGCTTCCTTGTCTACAATAGAAATGAAATCACATAAAGATTGGAGAACAATATTTTTCAGTCAAGAATTGTTTTCAACTTTGATTAGTTCTAAACTTTGGCTTATGTTTTTATTATTTCGTGTTTGTTCAAATGTTGTTCCCAACGTTTTAGAAATATTTAGTGGCATATTTTCTATATGTTTACCTTTGAAGCGTGCATGACAGTGTAATTCATCCTTTAATTTTAATCCAAAGAATGACTTTGAATTGAATTAGTCACTAAAATAGATATTTCATCAGAATCCATTGTTTTCATATTGTTTTCACTGTTGTTTATTCAAAGCATACATTTTTCTATAAATAATTCACTTGTATTAATGTATTGATTTTCTTCTAAGTCTAGGCCACTAAACTAACTATCGATGGAAGCAATTATTCTCGATGAAGTGACAAGTGCAATTACAAAATGTGAGAGAGTAATATCCGATACTTGACTAAGCATGCTAATGGTTGTTGATAATGCCGTTTATGCGACAAAAGAAAATTCATATAATCAATTCAAATATCGAAATTGATAGATACAGATAGTGAATAATAAATATACCTTGTTATATTAACATGTGATAAGGGACTAGAAGGAAAATATTTTTCTAATTTGTTAAAATCATTTTTTAATAGTAGCTCATCATCGATATTAATTTGAAAATTGTTGCTACTCTGCAGTACAACTTGAGCTATATGATCGATGTTATTTTCACTATGTGTTTCCTCATTATCTGACAAACTTGAATCTGCAGTAAAATTTAAATTTTTCAGTTTATCTAAGATTAATATAAGTAATTCAGCACTGTAAGGTTTTAATATATTGATACTTTCCAGAAAATAATGCTGACAATAATATTGTTCAATATACTGGCGTGCATATTTACATCATTTTACAGCTAAATTTTGAGCAATAACATCTTTATCTGAAATATGTTGATATAATTTGATCAAATTTTCTTGTTTACACATCCAAAAAACCATTGTCTTAACAAAATATGATGTTAAATATTTATCATATTCAGGTGTAACGCGTGATCATTTTGGAATAACAAATATTAGACAACCTTTAATAGAATCAACCAAATTGCAACGGTTCTTTCTCAAACGGTTTAGAAAGGAATCCAACGCAGTTGGCCAAAAACTGAGTCTTAATGCTGGAACATGATCGCAGTCCAAGGTGATAGGATCTAATTTAGTGATAGAATTATTCATCACAGAAAAAAGAAATGTTTATGTGTAATAAAAAAATTCATATAAGCTGTTAAACCTGTTTTTATCTTGTCTGATAATTTGAAATATTCCTATTAGTTCCGAACGAAACGAATCATAAGTAAAATTAGCTAATTCTGTCGCTTCAACTGCTTTTTCTATCAGTCCGATATCGAGAAAATTTTTCAAGGAATCAGTTCCTAGGAATTCCGTAATTCCTTGAAATATCTGCTGATATTCTGCAGTCATCAATAGGATACAACTTATTCTATGTCGGAATTCCGGGAATTCCTTCAATGCGGAATTCCTACGAATTCCGGAATTACTTGAAGTAGCTGTTGATATACTGTAATCATCAGAACTGTATAACTTATTCTATACCGGAATTTTTGGAATTTCTTCAATGAGGAATTACCAGAAATTTCGGAATTACTTATCAGTCTCACTCTCACCACCAATCAACCCACCCCTCATCCTCAGTGTATCAATAGATACTTCCAGTAATTCTGCATTGAAGGAATTCCGGGAATCCTGGCATAGAATAAGTTCTATGCTATACATCATGACAGTATATCAAAAGATACTTCAAGTAATTCTGGAATTCCTAGTAATCCCGGAATTCCCTGACTTGAGTGGTGATTGGAATTCCTGGGATTCCGGGATGGAGCTGATTCCGCAATGTGACTGCTTAGATTGCATGGATGACTGCTCACATTTAAAATCGCGAATATGAAATAACGTGTAAAACCAACGAACATCAAATATTAGAACGGTTTGATGAATAAATGGTAAAACAGTTGACTCATCTGCCATTGAAAAAAATTCAAGGTTGTAATTCTTTATTTCATCAGACGAATGTAAAGTAGTTTACATTACTCGCAGACGAAAGAATAAAAATCTTATTGTTGGGGTAGTACCATTTCATTCACCTTTATTTCTTTGAGGGTCAACAATCTTTCCTGTAAACGTCACATAATGTACACCACGTGCAGCTAATAGTTGAATTTATTTTAGTTTTATTAATTTAATTATATTTAAAGTTTAAAAGATCTACCGAAAAAAGAGTTTCAGAAAAAAAAAATACTTTTAGGAAGCTGACTCGGTGCTAGTCAAAATTGGTTAGAATTGGAAATTTGACCTAATCAAATCAATTATTCTTTCGACTCGAGGCTTTAGCATTAACTGAGGTTAAGTAAAATTGTCAAAAACGTAATCTCCAGAAACCAGTACGCACAAAACACAAAGAGGATACGGATATTGCAGCGAACACCAACAACGATTCCTTAAAAGACCATCACGTCTCTGCGCAGCCAAGAAAAACGAATTTTGTTTCAGATCATTCAAGTTTGTCGTCCATCGTTATTGTTACTTTCTGTCATAGGTAGAACGAGCCGAGAAAAAACCCAAGAACGGATCGAAAAAATGCTTGTTTATCCTAGAAAACACTCCGATGACTCCGAAGATTGTAAAATGAAAAAAAGTAAATGGGGGCAGTATTTTACGTTCCTACTTTGTTGCTACATGCCTAACGGAGTCTACTCTAATTTTGAAATGGACAGTCATTTCACAACCGATTTAATTTCTTTTATCATTTTTGTTTTATTTTTTATTATTAATAAAAGAAAGAGAAAAGCACATATTTTATTTTGTTTTTTATTCTTCCATTTTTAAAAATTTATTGGAATAGTTCGTTTTATATGTGTTTTTTGCTATTTCCAACCTTACACTCTAAATGAAAGTCGTAGATAAAAAAACGCAAAAGGAATTTCATACTGGAACGACACTAAACGTTTCCAAAATGCGTAAAAACATAACAAATAACTTACGACAGTGGGGTCGGCTATTTGTGAGCCTTCTTCAGTTGTTAACACCGCTTATTCTGTTGTTTTCAAAAGTAAGTCTTTAGTGAGTGAGCTAAACATTTACTAACATGCTTGTTGTATGAGCCTTATGAGGTTTTGTAGTAAAAGTAACGTAGGTGATAGGTTTTATAATGCCGACTTCTTAATGAAAACTGAATATCATTCAGAATGCTGCTATAAAGAGTGTAATTCAAGAATTAATTGATCGTCATGTAAATAGATCTCAAAAAGAGTAATAATACGATTGAAATTGTAGCATAAAATTGCAGAATATGCAGAAGAAACAGTTTTATATTTGACTATTTCGAAAGTTTTGACTGATAAAACCTTGTTTATATGGATTTTTTTGACTATCATCATTTAATTCTTTTCTGTCATGTTTTTTTCGTTCATCTTCATCTTTTCGTTTATAGGTAACTTTAACAAAGGATATCATAATGATCGCGACACCCGTCAATAGCAGCACTAATAGATTCATTAATTTATACCGTTTAGGAGCAATTGACAGCAGAATGAGTGCCATTACATTATTCCATTGAGCAAGAGTTGATGCTGATAATGATTCAGGTAATGGATGCATTATTTCAGCTAAACATTCGTACATTAAAGGTGACGCAGCACCTGCAAATAAGCCTGTGAACGATATGGATAAAGCGATTGTTGATATAGACAATGGTACTAATGGTTTATCGTAAAACAATGTTCGAACTCCCAGTTGAAACCATGTAATCGAGAGAAAACAACATATTAATGAAGCGAGAATTAAAAACTTTAATCGGCGTTGAAAGTATTGTCGATCTGCAATACTACCCATTACTAAGCTACCAAACATACTCGCCAAAGAATTACCAAAGCCAAACCAACCTAAAAACATAGAAAGCCTCATAGAAACAACTATCAAACTTGAAGCTGTGTTTACACAAATGAGTCTCTCCTTCACATACCCGCTTGTGCTTCTGAATAATTCATTGGTCCTAAGATTGTTGCCAGTAGTCCAGCCCAAGCTCCTAATGCACCGGTTGTAATTCCCGCTGCTAACGACAACAACAAACATGACGGTGACGATAAACATTGCCAAAGATTTCTGAGATATAACTTAACGTGGCCACCTTGTTCTTCACTCAATGGATGATAGATTAATAATTCGGCCGCAGCAGATGGTGGTGAAGGTGGAATTGATGGAAAATAGAGAAGTGTTAAAATAACAGCAAAAAAGGACAAGCCAACGTGTAAATACAGAAGATATGGTATGTTGTCCGGTTCTGAAACGATATACGGTGTGATGAGAAAACCGACGGTAACTCCAAGACTAGCACCAAAAAGTGCAACAGCGGTCGCTCGTGTGCGTTCATTCATTCCAAACCATAAACACGATAACTGAGAGACCGGTGCCATAACAAGCGGTCCACACGCAGCATTTAATATCTGACCAATATGAATAAATGGGATGGTTATTGACTGAAAGTAAACAGGTTGATTTTAACGTTCAGTGATAGAAAACAAGGACGGTATTTTCATAAAAGTGAAAATAACGGGTGATCCACCGAAAACGGATCACCCTCTGTTTTTGACTTTTCTCAGCTATGTTTCATCCATTTGAGTTAAGTTATATAAGATGCTTGAGAAATCTTGAAGTTGTCTACAAAAACGTATCGAGCGCCTTTTTACAAAATTTTTACACAAAAAAACTAGAAATCTTTAAAATAATCAACTTTTCTAAAAAAATTCAAGCCTTTTTTTTTAAACTCTTGCACAGTTGTTAGGATATATCAGAATAAATTTTCTGATGTTGCCAAGTGTGCTCTTTCTCATGAAGTATAATGGGTTTCAGTCAAACCTACTGTTACGAATTAAAGAGTAACTTTATTGAAATATAATGAATAGAAGGAAAATTTTAATCTTTCTTCTCAGCATATTGAAAGAAACAAAACTTTTAAACTTCTCGTATTTCAACATATCATTTCCCTGTAAGATAAGAAATAACTCAAACCCAAAATGTTTAAGTTTTGGTGAGTTATGCCAGTTTTAAGCAATGATATGAAACTGATATAAAATGACTAGTTAGATTTTTCTATATCTCAACAGGCAAAGGAAAAGAATCGGTAAAAGTGGTTCTTTAGTTAGAACATTGATTATTTCAAAGATTTCTAGTACTTATCAGTCTACTTTCGTATTTTCTTGTAAAATATTGGATACGTTCTTTCGTAGAGAATTTCAAGGCGCACCTTGTGATGTATGAATGAACATAAAGGGATAAAAAATCAACTGAGAAAATTCAAAAACAAAAAGTGACTATTTCCTATGAATTACATATATATTGTAGAAGACTAGGTGGGCTTTCTTTCAAGAAGTAAAAAAGACATTCGACATTCCATCAACTGTTGAAACCGCTACTAAACATTTCAAACCATTTACTCTGAAGTTTTTTTTATCATGTGTAACGAAGATGAGTGGTATAATTCTGATAACAGTACTTATAAATCCCGTAATAGCCAATAAGAGAATACATTTTCGTAAACCATTTCGTTTATTTAATAATAAATAGGTGAGCGGTAAACAAGGAATAAAAATAATTGGTCCCCAATTGAGTAACAAATCGACGGTAGCTTCACTTATATGATAATATTTTTCGGTACTAGCAGCGATCGGAGAAAATGTTAGCCAAAATATGTTTTGGTTAAATGACAAGAATGAAAATACAAATAACACATAGAAACGTTGACGATATACTCTGTACACGAGTTGAGACGGATAAATTGGTGTTGTTTCTACACTGATCATTTTTATCTGAAATTGTAAACAACAATGAAGTAATGTAACTTAACCCTCCTTAAGCGCCTTTGCAGGGACAGCGAAGGATCGAAGAACCATTTGGGAGTTCGTCATAATCCATCTCCGGTAAATAGCAGTGCACTTTTGATTATGTAACGTAACAGCAAAAACTAGAAAGCCATGGTCTTCTAATATGATAGCAGTATTCGTAAGACGTCATTGTAAAAAGTGGACAAGAATTAGATGGACTGTGTTTGCGCTGACCGTTCATTAAAACCAGCGTCTTATAATCAAGTACATGTCGGTGTAGGTGCGCAATGGTCTCCTGTTTTTACTCTTATTTTTTATAAAATAATTGTGAATAAACTAAAGACTTACTTAAAACTCCAAATGGATAACTGCGTAGATCAAACAATTGTTTTCAAAAAAAGAGCGATATCTCTGCTCTGAAAGTTGATTCGTTATGAAAATGCAGCTGTTTTACAATCAGGATAAAAAATCAATTTTAGGGACTATTTGTGGAACATCGTTACAAGAGTGATGATCAGCAGGCAAAAAATGATCAGTAATGTCATTCTATTACAGTTTTTACGTTCTTGTTTTTGCATTAAATGAAATAATTTTAAACTTTAAAAACTATCCAGTCTTTTGACAATGTTTCACTAATAAAGCAGGTGGCCTGTTATTATTGAAGAATGGTTACTGTGATTCACATATTTAGTTGAATCTAGTTTGATTTGTGTTCAAATTGAAAATCGCTTATCAAACAAATCAGTGAGGCAACGTTTTTGATAGTTTGTGAGAATTCTCCGCAAAACTAAAAAAATACATCATATGAATTATTAATAATCATCTAGTTCGAAACATACGAAAATAGGTGACAAACACGAACGTTGAAATGAAACAAAAAATGCGTTGTGATAAAAAAAGAATAGAAAAGAAAAAGAAAAAATGAGTATGTCAGATCTCATTCACTATTTTCTTTTTTAGTTCTTTTTTGATATTAGACATACTATCATCTAATAATGCACAACACTAAAGTTACTATGAAGACTAATGAGTAGTCCAAATTTACTCTAATTATTGAAATTAGGGAATATCTTATTTCGAGTAAAGTTGTACCTTTTGCTTGAATGATCTCAGTTAGATTAAGTTTCTGATTTTATTTTTGTTCTAGCTCATATCTACATTTTTCAGCATGTGTTTCATACTGATACACGTTATCAAAACAAACGCATTGTATTACTTTCAACTTGATACGCACGTTTTACAAGCGTTTTCACTAGCCAATCACGCATTTTTTTACAAGTGGCATACTATGCAATAAAATTATTTTGTGAAAAATCTTAAGTTCAAGCTTTCTAAAATTTTTGGTCATTGGGATTGCGTCTGTGTATATAATTTTTATACAGGCAATCTGATTTTTATACTGTAAAGCTCTAGTAAACGTGATTAGCAATAGACGTGCTAACAGCACGTCAGGAAAACCTTTTTTCACGTAAAATACCACAATCGAAAACGGAAGCATTTCTCTATCGAACGTAGTTAAATTGGGTACACTTAATGCTCTAGTCTTTTCGTTTTCTTTAGTATTTAGTTTTCTACTTTTTGTCTTACCTCTCACATGAGTGTACGCGTGATCTTTTAGTATTATACTGACTGTAGTCTACTTTTCATCTCTCTATTTTCTTTTTTCTATTTCGTCTATTTGATTTCGTTCATCTATTTTTTTCTCGTCCACTTGTTATCACTATTATTCTAGATCTATATAGTGCATCATCCTTAACTATCTCTTTCTAGTTTTTTCTTTTATGTCACATGTCTTTGTTCTTTTGGATATATCTATATATACAAGAAATCATACATTTTTATACTGTGTGTTAGACTGTTTTTAGAATACAGAGTTAGTAAGTCGACGGATCAGTTAGTGGTCTCCTTACTTCTCAAATTCGGAATTGTTATAACTTAGCCAAATTAATTTTTTTGGAACGAATTTTAATTTCACTGTTTAGTCAAACCTGAAAAAGACCCGATACTGGACACTAGCTTGACGTGAGCACATCGCGTCGCGAGTGTCACTGCGATCTCCTGTGCGCTGTTGCACGGGAGAACATTAAAATAGCTCGCAGTTTTTAACGAACGTTTTCGGGGAAAGGTTACGTAAGCCATCTTCTTGTTCCACACAAATCTTCTTTCTGCATTAATTCACTTTGTTGCAGACATTTTTTCATTATCATCATAAAATCCCTACAATGTCAGCTGACGACTCAGTCACAACTAAGTTTCTTAGTAATTTGGAAATTAAACCTGACTCTGTTCATGAATTATCTGCAGATGACAGAGCTCTGCAAACAGCCGTTGTCAATTGCAAATCTGTGTCTCCGTTACATTCATTTAAAATTTCAACTATCAATCTGCCTATAAAAGAAGCGTATCTCAAGTACCTTGAACCAGAAGATATAGAAGAGTTATATAAATTATTCCTCGTTAATCGTGATTATCTCAGTCGAAATATTCCTATATCTAGTGTAAATACTTTAGAAGATGTCGCTAAACGATTTGGTAATGATCTCACTAATCCGAATCGAGTACAGATCGGTATTTATTATAATAATAAAATTGTTGGTCGATGTCGATTAACTTATTATCCGGATAAAAATAATATCTGTGATTTTGGTTATTGGATTGGTGAAATATATCAAGGTCTTGGATTAATAACAGCAACAGTGAAAGTATTAATGCAGTTTGTAACTAAACAATTACCACAAGTGAAACGATTTGAAATTCATTGTGGTGATAATAATGTAAAGAGTCGATCTGTGCCAGAACGTTTGGGATTTAAGACTGGAGGAGTATCGAATGATCCGCAGGATACAATAGAATTGAACGGAGTATGGATTAGATCGATTATTTATTCTTACATTCGGGAATGATTGAGTTGAATATCGTATTATTGAAAGAGTCAATTGAGCATCTAACAGCTACTAATATCTCAGCAATACGATTCTTGTAGTTTTTTAACACAATGTTCATTCATTATATCTAAATGATTCACCGCTTTAAATGAAATAAAATCGCACTTTTACTGTTGACAGTTTTCAATCTAATAAAATGATAATTGTATAGTTTATTGACACACTAGTAGTGTGAGTACTTAATATTAATATGCCCGAAGCTAATCTATTAGAAAATGCTACTTTGATTGGCAGAGATAGATCCCTATCGACATTAGTTAAATTCTCTGTATGCGAGTTCCTTTTCTCCTTTATTAGCTAAAACATATTAGAATTGCTCTTTTTCTCCTTTGCTGTTTAACTTTTTATGCAAAATAAACATGCGACCCAGTTATATTCAGTATGTGAGTAGGAACCTCACCTTTCTTGCTGAGAATCTTGGTGTATTTTCACATGAACTTCATCGCTTTTGGTGACAAGTTTGATGCCTCTTCGCAAGGACATCATCTTGTTTACCTGATCGTGAGTATTGTAAATTTACCGTTTACCTCTATAAACCGGTTTTTAAATGTGCCAATAAACAATAGTAATGAATTATATCGAGTCTTTTTTTCCACATGATGTGTTTTCACAAGAATGTCATCATTTTTCGTGCAAAAACCTGATGTTTCTTCACAAGAACTTCACCTTTATCGTGAAAATCTTGACGCCTCTTCGCAAGAGGGGCATTTTGTTTAGCTAGAAAACTTTGTGTTTTTGCACCAGAACTTCATCTTTGTCGGTGGATGTTTGGCTTAAGCTATTTTTATTTGAAATAATATAAAGTAAAGAGCGCTAGTGTTACTAATTCGGCATTGCCATTATATAGTGAACACAAGGCTCGCAATATAGAAAGAAAATAGCATCGAAAATTGAATGAATAAGTTAGTAAAGTAGTTAGTAAACATTAAAATAAAAATAAATAGGCAGACTAATTATTTTAGAATCACAGAAAATTTTATGAGTAGAAAAACACGTGGGATTTCAGTAGAATATAACACACACATTAGACAAAACAAGGCTTAGCGTATAAAAACTTCTTTAATTTGTTACAAAACGTTTAGTTTCACATATATAGATAGTTATCGCTTTGTAAACTTTTACATGAGAAGGAGGAGATAGAAGAAGGATATTCATATCTATATTTAGATCAGGATCACACTCATGTAAAGTATCAAATAATTTTATACGAGCAGTAGTGTAGTCTGGACAATGCAGAAAAGAGTGTTCTACTGTTTCCGAATGAGAGCATGAGCAGAACTGTGAGTTTGGTGTTTTACAGATTGCCCTACTGTATAAATCATGTCCGAGTGTAGAAAGACCCGCTCGCATCTAGCGAAAAACAACATCTGCTCTTTTATTTACATCTTTTACTATTTATTTCTTCTCATTCATTATCTTTTATCTGTATTTATGAGAGTTTCTTGTGAATTCAATCAAGATTCTTGTCTACCTGTAAACATTATTAGTAGTTAGTAGGTTAGTTGGTTAGTAATTTTTATTATTATTAATATGGACAGTTGAATATAAAAATTCATAAATTTAGCGCAAAGCAGGAAGCTATCGTACAAATACATTAGTTTTATTTTCTACTATGCTTTTAAAATACGTTTTGCTAATAGTTATTCCTGAAGCTTACGAGGTAACCACCCGAGGTTATGACTCGATTTCGGGTTGGGACTATTTTTGTTAGAAAGACCCTAAAGATCGAGTAGTGAAATACCCGAACTTGGTTCATCCCCATGGTGCTTTGTTGCTGAGATACTGAATTTTTAGATAGTTTTTGCGTATAGAACTTGGATTTCGAGCAAAATCCGACTTTCGAATTTTGATTTCGAATTTGCCACGCTTTTAGCCCATGTTCATAGTAGTACGACGGAAAAATATTCGATGCTAATGAATTTTCCTGCCTTGAGATAAGACAGGAAAATTCATTATTTACTGTGATAAGGCAGGCTTCAGGAATAACTATTAGCAAAACGTATTTTTAAAGCAATAGTAGAAAATAAAACTAATGTATTTGTACGATAGTTTCCTGTTTTGCGCTAAATTTATGAATTTTTATATCCAACTGCCCATATTAATAATACTAAAATGACTCATTTTCCATTTGACTTTCATTGCAATCTCGTGTGTTTGTGAATGAGCGATTTTTTGTTTTTTTGCCATTGGACTCCCACTTTTCTTGTTTGTGTCGTGCTTCATTTGGGCTGCGGAGATACGAATTGAATTTTGTTTACTCCAAACGTCCGCAAATTTCAGTTTGTGCAAATACGCAACCACACCTGAACGAATTAGAGCCAAATTATACCTGGTAGAAAGAAGATTGCGCCTTACCTAGCAAAATGTGAAATTCTCCGGCTTTCAGATCGAAAAACGACCCTTGATTACCGTATGCAGCACGAATGATGTTTCTGGCAGTGGTTGTGAAACTGCTGCCGGCTGGAACAGTACTCAAATTGACATCATTCAACGTTAGTACAAGGTTTTCATCCTCTTCCGGCTTGCGATTTGTCGTCACTTGCGTTGCCTGAAAATATATCAAAATATGGATGGTGGTCAATTTGAAATTCCGATTAATCGGAAAGGACATCATGATAGAATTTTTTTTGAGGGGAAGGATGATAGAGAGACAAACTGAGAAAAGATGAGAAATTGTATACCATTTTCAAATAATCGGAAGACTCTTTAATCGATTTAGAGGCCGTTTGAGGAATATCGATTAAACCTTTCAACATTTTGATAAGTTCGTCGATTTTTTCGGACTGATTTTTATTAATTTTGATTAACTCATCAAACGCATTCATATCAGAAGCTAATACTTGATCGAGGGCTAAAATACGTAGTAGAAATTAAAGAAATGTATACTCAGATCAGGGATAGAGCTCGTCGTTCTACTTGAAACCGGGCTGGAACGGTTTGGAAATGTTCCTAAACGAATATGGATAGATTTTAGCAAACATGTAGCAGCATTCACATAGTGTAAAATGGGTATTTTGGGTTTATCTTCCATATGGTTTGGACTATAGCAAGTCCAAGGATACCAGTCGATAGAGCTCGTCGAGTTCTACTTGAAACCGGGCTGGAACAATTTGGAAATGTTCCTAAATGAATATGGGAAGGTTTTACTCGAATATGGTGCTAACTCCACCTACCTGTGCCAGAACGTAAACATTTTAAAAAATGAATAAAACTTTCGTTAGCGAAACAATTATGGAAACAAAATGGTCCATGACTAGCTACTTTGGTTGCTAAATGCAAATGTGAGTGCATCGATAACAGCTCTATAGAAAAGCCCTAAAGTGCATAGCGGCGTAACCAGGATTTGAGGCTGGGGTGGGCTCAGCTCCGGAGATTTTCGAAAGACATTCAGAAATACCACTATTTCTTACTATTCGTTTTAGCTCAAAACAGAACTGAAATTGGTCTGACAGGATCAGACAAACCCATTTAAGGTCGATATCTAGCGTTTGGAAATTCTTGAAAGGTGCCTCTTGTCGTCCTGTGTTTTCGATCGTAAAACCGAATTTTACACGCTTTACGGTCAAAAGCAATCGGAGGACGCGCAATTGCCCACTTCCGTTCATCCGAGAAAATGCAGGAGGCACCAGTGAAAAAAGCGTTTGGTTATCAAAATAAGCTTCATGCGATAGCAGTACGCTCATCAAGTTTGAAATTATACTGGTACAAATATAATTGAAGTTTTTACCATTAGTTTAGTCGAACAGAGCAAAGATTTCTGAACAAAATGAGACGTCTCCGAGCTCTCTGAGAGCTTTTTTCATAAAACAGCATTCAATTTCCGAAAGGTCCCATATCACTAAAATCAGGACAATTAACCGGAAAACAACAAAGATACGTTCTTCGTGCTTTTCGTAAACTGAATGCTGTTTCATGAGAAAAGCTCTTATAGAGCTCGGAGACGACTCATTTTGTCCAGAAATCTTTGTTCTACTCGACTAAACTAATGGTAAAAAGTTCAATTATATTTATACACAAGAAAGCCAAATAAATACAGAGGAGGTAATTTTCGTTTGGTCAACCCTGTAAAGAGGTATGATGTATGAATTTCGCCATTTTACCGCTTCAATTAGCGTTAATCACGATTGGTTATATTCAGTAGATACAGCTTTTAAATGGCTACAAAAATATGCCTAAATGATTGATAAAGTTTGCTTTCTTAATAAGAAATAAAGTAAAGTATAATGAAGAGGCATATAACATTAATTAGCACTAAGCTTAAAAGATCGTATGAAAATAAAAAAATCTTTAAAAAATACTAGAACCTCGAAAACCACAACAAACTTCAAGCAAACAGCGATTATCTTACCGCTCCTTCTTTATTTCCTGGTGAAGATGTGCCGTTCCAGCATAGATTTCATATTTAATAAATCTATTTTCGCCTCCGCTTATGGTAGAATCTTTTCAAAAATATAAACAGTTCCACCGAGCAGGTTTCATTTCAGCTTTCTATCGCAAAAAGAATCGGATCAAAAATTGAATTCTAAGGTTGTAGACTGATCATTACCAAAAGTAGTAAGTTTTTTTGTGACACCCTGTACTTTCTTATACAGAAATCATGTAGAGCATATAAGTTACCTGCACTACTACTTCGAGCAACTGGTAACAGAGGATAATCACTTTGTTTCGGTGTTGCGTAAGAATACAAAGAATCTTCATTCACATCCTAGAACCCAACATAAATTTCAAAGATGACAAATAGCGATGTTTGGGTCTACTATATACCATTGAGTCTACTGCTCGTGGTTACCAATTACATGAAAATGACAACAACAAAACAATGAATGTCTGTCATTTGAAAAGAAGACCTTTGTATATATAGTGTTAATATAGATGTATACTATTTTTAAGACTTTTTTCATAGCTTTTCCACCTAAACCATTAATCAATTCGCAAGAAAAACTAATTAAATTGGACCAACTAACTAAATTGGGTATGAGTTCACTCACCGTGGAGTGAGGAAGCAATTGACCTCGTGAAAGTACTCATATGATGAGTACGACTTTACTCATAATTCGTCCATGAGTACTCATATTGATACTACTAACAATTTCTGAGTATTGTTACTCAGTGAGTACTCAGTTACTCATGTGAGTACTCAGGAAATATTCATTTATC